AATCTTTCATGGGAGACCACACATCCTTGGATATGAATATTGCATGTGTCTTTATGTCAAATAACTTGTATCCCTTAAAACCTATAGGGTATCCTATAAAAATACATCTTTTGGCTGCATGGGCAAATTTCTTTTGGTTTCTTTGTAATGCAGAGGCATAGCAAAGACAACCAAAAATTCAAAAATAGGAACAACATGGTAACCTTTGGTATAGAATTTCAAACGGAGTTTTTTCAAAACTACAATTGAAGTATCGATACATTTACCAAATGTATCGATAGTTTTCTTTTTTGGGTAAAGATATCAATACATCATGAATATGTATCGATAGATGTTCATCAAGATGCATTTCTAAGTTTCAAGTATCGATATTACATGAACAAGTACAAATACTTTTGCTACAAAATATAGTTTTAACCCTAAAACCAAGTCTTTTGATTGTCTCTAAGTCCCATCGTTCAAATAAACTCACTTGGTATCAATTTATATAGTTTTCTAAATTATAAATGTGAAAAAAATGTCATTTTAAAACGTGACATGCTGAACAAGCTAAGTTACAAATTTAACCTTAAGTGAGAGTTGGGGTTTTACATGGATGTGTAACATCAGGCCATAAATGTATTGGCAAAACTAGACACAAATTGAGTAGGAATTTTGTAAGTGATTTGTGACCCAACTAGTCCATGAAGAATCGTTGATTCAATGCGTAGTTAACCTTACAATTCATACTAACAGTAACACATTCCACTAAGTAAAGGCTCAAATCTCCCCCAAACCTCTAGTTATGCATGTGATTCACAGAGTTGTTAGTATATGAAAATTTTGAAAATGAATGATTGTTGATGTATTTTCAAAACAAAAAGTTATATCACTTAATAAAATGATTTTAAAAAAAATTTAGAATTCAAAAGTTATGTCTTTGAATACGAAAAGTTGTCTTTTGATAAAGCGACTATTAGAAAGACATTTCTATTCAAAAGTTATGTCTTTCAATATTGGGAATATCACGTTGGAAAATGCACATCTCTTGAATCAGGAGGTGGAGTACTCAAGTGCCTTAGAAGCTGTTTGTTGCGCCTGCCAAAAAAAAGGTTCATTTGGAAGTCTAAAAATATCCTCAAATACAACTGTTAAATACGATGGCTTCTCTACTAGTTAAAACATCCTAGCTATTTGATATATGCCATTAGTTAATTGAAAAAAAAAATTGCTACAAAATTATGAATGAGATCATTAAACAATGGAACCAAATAATTGGCACATGGAAAATTTTTAACTGAACCCATTACCATGCTTTTCAAGCAACAAAATGAATAAGATCGGCAAATGGATGAGAACAGACTCCTTGGTTCCTGGTTCAACTTAGCAAGATACCAGAATCACTGAGTGTTCTAATTAAACTTACTCATATAGGGCAGAATTCTTGTAAATTTTGGCCAAATCAATTCCAAGCTCAGCCTCTACAGAAGTTGAAGTGACCTCTAGCATCCATGTTGCCAGGTTACAATTATCTTTAATTTTGATCACCCCAGGTATACTCTGTCAGCAAGAATTCGAAGTATAGAAGACAAGTAAAAATCATCTTTCTGAAGCAAATTTGTTTAGACTATATTTATCAGGGAACGGAAAGGGAAACTGACCTCAAAATATTCTACAACCCTACTTGAATGCTGTCCTAATGGTCCAAAGTAGATTAAACTCCCACCAGTTTTCAGAAAAATCAACTGCAATGAGAATAACAAGAATATGAAAGAGAACTCTTGTTTTGAACTTGTTTATGATAGCAAGAAAACAATGATCCAAAGAATTCAAGCCTCAAAAATGGATTTTAACCTCATCAAATGCTTCAAATATGTCAATGCTCGGTTGGTGGATCGTGCAAACAATTGTTCTGCCTGTATCAGCTACATTCTTCACTGCACGCATGACAATGGCTGCAGCATTTGCATCCAAACTGGAGGTAGGTTCATCCATGAAAATTATGGAAGGATTAGCAACAAGTTCCACAGCTATTGTAAGCCGTTTACGTTGCTTAGTTGATAGACCGCTATGACCAGGTATGCCAACTAAAGCATCCTTCACTTCATGAAGTTCAATGTATCTAAATGACTTCTTTCATAAATTCCTACAAAATCCATTAAAGCAGCTTTAAGAAAAATTATCTCAAATTTTGATAGCAAAATATTAGTAATTCTTGCGCCTTTGGAGTCTTAACAGTTTTAATTTTTGAGTCGATACAAGCAGGAAGACACAGCCAAGCAGAAAAAATCAAAGATTCTTTTACTATGATTTGTGGAGAACGTATATCTGTAAGTTCACAATAGCCTGATATCCTTGCAAATGTTTCTTGAACCTTGAGGTAACAACCAACTCTGATTTCCCCCTCTATGCAGCCTATAGTTTTTCTTCCTGCAAGAACATCAAGAAGAGTAGTTTTCCCTGCTCCACTAGGACCCATCAATGATGTCAGAACACCAGGCCTAGCCACTCCTGTAATATCTGAGAGGAGTTGAAGCTTCTTCTGAGAATATCCTCGTTTTCTCATTTCCTAAGAACAAATAGAAAACAATGCACCAATGATCAATCAGTGCTGTTTCATCTAATGGCTCATTAGTCATGATATTTAGCAATTGTTGATGAATTCTTAGGTTCAAGTCTCACCAGTCACCTCAAATGGGTTCCTTCTGACTTAAAAACTTATGTTGTCCATGGTTATATGTAAGTTGATTATGCATGCGTGTGCGTGTGTGTGTGTGTGAGAGAGAGAATCTGTGCTTTATGACTTCAAATTTATACACAGGGCAGATTTATGTGATTACCGGAGGTGTGTCAACCTAGTATTGCGCATTCTGAAATGTTAATGTTGAGGGATCAAAAGGCAATACCATCCTCCCTGTGACAGAGACAAAGCAAACAAGAATATGGTTCAAATGAGCTTTCAAAAAGCAGTGATTTGCAGAAATGAAGAAAAAGAATGAACCTTAATATATTCTTCTTTATTACAGGAAAGCGAAGAGCTAGGCACATTTTCCCTATATGTGCCATTAAAAGAATCTCCTTCCTCATTTTGGAAAGGCTTTCCTGTGAAATAACAACTCGAGAAGAACCAGGGCTTCAATGTGTTTAAATAAGTGAAAATGAATAACCATGTATATCTCTTCTTCTTGAGCGACAATGAAGCAAAATGGGAAAGAGAACAAGATGAAAACGAACTTACGCTTCAAGAAACTTAAGGCCAAAGTAAATCCAATGGTCCAAACAAAAGCAATCCCAAGGAAGGCACCAACTGATTTCCAGAAAAAATATTCATCAAAGTAAAATCCATGGCTTTTTAGTGTCTCTTTTCCAATTGTAGCATTCATTGCTTGGACCTGCAAAATAAACAAACAATCAGAGGCACACATTGGGCAGATTACAATGAGAAAAAGATTATATCCTTAAGAGGGATGAGAAAAGTGAATTACGTTGGAAGCATGGATTTAACTGTCATCTCCCTTTGTCTCTGTGTTCCAATACTCGTCATGTCATTGTGGGAATGGGTTTGATCGGCTCCAGAGGCACACTCTGTTATAATCTAAGATTCTATTATGGTCAGCACGTTCTACGCGGTTTGTAACATTTTCATTCTTATTGTAATACGGAGAGTGAATGGAATCACGGTGCACAACCTTAATGACCAACAACCTTGTGGGTGTCAAAGCCATTCCTCGGGAGGTTGGACTTGGTTTGGTTAAGCTTACAATGGTAAAGGTCAAGAAGAGAAAATATTGGACAGTGGCTAATGCTTGCTCCATAGCAGCACCAATGGATTCTTTTGGCTGCCCATTCAAATCTTATACAACCAACAACCAATAAACAGACATCTTATCACACACAAGTCATTTATTCTTCAATTTATCTTTTCCTGTTTTTCTAGAATATTTTTCAACATCTTGAGTTTTAGACTAGTTAAGAGGTAACATATACAATTAATAAAAGGTCTGAACTAACAATAATAATAATAATAATAATAATAATAATACATATATGCCTGGACTAGGAAAGGTAGAGGATAAAGGAGACTGTATATGGTTGGGAAAATCTTCACCTAGTTGTTTTGATTTAGGTTAGATGGCTTAATATATATATAAAATTGAATAAGTAAAGTTTTCTCTAAATTAAGTCTAGTCAGTTTTTGTGAAGCTCTATATTGCTTTATTATGTGCGTATAAAATAACATTATTCAAATATTAATGTTCTATGAGCTATTCATTTATCAATAAATTATTGAATTGATTTTATATTGCCTATTAACCAAAATTTGCATTATAATCTGACTTTTATCGTGTCACAATTGTAATATTATGATCACACGTATTTATGTATTGGGGATTCCATGCATTGGCAACAAATTAAGTAAAATTTTAGAAAGCAGCAAATAAAAAAAAAAGCATGAGTTTTAATAATTTTATTTGAAGCCAACAACCTTCCTAATTTTTGAGTTTGTATCAAATTATACACCTAATCTTATAATTAAATCCAACTCTGTTT